CAAGAATAGGTCTCTGGTCAGTGTTTAGAGTTCTTCCCTTAAGTAGGTCTCTATCAGACCAGTAAGCCTGGTCTTTTCTGTGATTTTGAGTTTTGTTGCATGTTGTTTTCCCACTCTAGCCAGGATCTCCTGCATTGATCCCTTAAAAGTGTTTCCAGGCCCCTGCTTTACGTTTAGGAAAGAGAGGTAAGGGATAGAAAGAAATAGTCGCTGTCTGTGGTACTATACCATGTAAGTAGAGAGGTGCTTATCGAATTTAGCATGGAGAAGCAGAACTATCCTAGAAAGAAGTAGAAGAAGCTCAGTGGTTCCTATTTGCATTTCAAAACCATATCCTGGTTCAGACAGCAAAAGACCAGAGGTACATGCTTACTGTAAGGTGAAAATGTTGCATGGATAATATGTGCAAATAATTGAGAATTAGGCTAAAAAATGTGACTTTAGGTATATAATTCCTGTGGAGAGCACAAATCTACAATTGGCTTGCTATCTGATAAAAGAACTTGGTGAGATCCGTTTGTGTGTGTGTGTGTGTGTGTGTGTGTGTGAGAAACTTCTTAGCATAAGTAGGTACAAGAACTTCATAGGAACAAAAATCCATAAAAGGGTTCAGTATGGAAGATAAATAAACATCAATAACAGAAAACACTTTTTGAAGATAACAAAATGTGGCTGGTGAGAAAGACAAATACAATTTAACACATCTCTAAAAATGTAGCATACTTCATTTACCTGGAAAGGTTTTTGAGATGAAAATTTTAAAATCTTCTAATTTGTCTTCATCTAAATCAGGTTTGACCTTGGCCTTTAGGATGTAAACTTGGCCAAACTTGTTCTTGAGGTGCTGAGGGCTGCCCAGACACATGAATTTCCCCTTCACCATTATGGCTAGCCTGGTACAAAGGGCTTCACACTCCTCCATACTGGCAAAGCAAGATATCAGAATGATGTAAGGCTACAAGTTCTCCTTTGGAGGACATTCCATTGTTCAAACAGTGCAATCCTTTGCAAAGGAAAGCTGCATTTCTCAATAATCAAGCTCAAAGTTGGGGTGTGGAAAGTTTTCAAATGCAATGTAGTAGAGGATCAAATCCTCAAAAGGAAAATTTCCTGAACTTCCTGCCCTCTCCCCATCTTTAATTACTAGCTCAATGAGGATTCTTCGCTGTTCCGTTCATTAGGATTAATGAAGAACTCATACTCAGGCAAGTTTCAATGTCCAATATTCCTGGCCCCAAATAATTCCCTTTTATCAACACTACAACTTGTGCCAACCCCCAACCATGCCTTCTAGTGAGCCGCACCTGTGGGAGGTTATGATGATAGCTTTGCCAGTTTCACGTATCTCTGTTACTAGCTTCCAAAGCAGATGCCGAGCTACTGGGTCCATGCCTGTTGATGGCTCATCCAGGAAGATGACTGAGGGGTTTCCCATTAATGCGATAGCAGTACTCAGTCTACGTTTGTTTCCTCCACTTTATGGTCAAGGAAAGAGAGAAAAAAAATGGGAAAGAGGAGGCTATACAAATTAGTTATTTACAAGAAAGAATTAACACAATCATTTATAATGCTAAGAGTCCTAGAAAGCATATAATATGGACATCTATGATGCTGATTAGATGTAACTTTAACAAGTAGCAGGCCCAAATAAAGGTGTACGTATCAATTCATTTTCATTTTAAATGTAGATAATGCTGATTTCAGCAGCATTATCAATGGCATTTATTTACTTGTTCTTAGGGTGCCATGAAGGAGCTCTGGTGGTACAGTGCCCAAGGCATTTGACTGTTGTTGTTGTTGTTATGTGCCATCGAGTTGGCCCCGACTCATAGCAACCCCCCCTTGGGTTTCCGAGCCAGTATCACTATAGAAGTAGGATTGCCCAACCTTCCTTCCAAGGAGTGGCTAGTGGGTTTGAACCACCAGCCTTCTGGTTACCATCAAGTGCCTTAGGCACTATGCTACCAGAGCTCCTATGACTGCTAACCAGAAAATTGGTGGTTCAAATGCACCAGCTTCTCCACAGAAGGAAGATGGGGCAATCTACTTTCATAAAGATTTACTACCTTGGAAACCCACTGGGTGTCACTCTGAGTTGGAATCAACTCAGTGGCAGTGGGTTTGGTTTTGGGGGTTTTAGGGCACCATGGGTTTCTTGGGTACATAAGAATCATCATAACTGAAAGTCCCTCCCAGTTCTCCTTACTTAGGAGACAAATAACCACAGCAAGTCTAGGAAGATGATGTGCCTTTTGAGTTTCAAAGGATACAGTTAAAAAAGAACTAGGATTTATGTTTTCATCTCTGCAAAGGGAATATATGGAACTACATTGATCTGTCTTATTATCAGTATCTGAAACCCAGAAAGGTGCTAGGCAATTTCACAATTAGGTAACTGAGTGAGAGAGGGGTTAGGCAGAGTTGTGGGCATTCATTTCAAAAATCAAGAACATGGGAGCCACCTCAACATTAGCAGCAGTAACAAAAAGAGCAGCAGCATAATGCCTCACCTGTAGGTGTAGATAAACTTGTCAGCATGGGACTCCAGACGCAGCGAGCTCAACCAGTAGTTCACATACACATTAACATGAGGCTCAGAGACTCCCCATATTCTGGCATACATGATCATTATTTCCCGGCCAGTCATGTAGTCCAGCAAGGCATCAGATTGAGGGCAATAGCCAATTTTCGACCTCACCTGATTAGGAGAATTTAAGTAAGAAACTGAGTTTCTCTAACCCACTGAGCATCCATGGATGTGACAGAACACTTGAAATCCTCTAGGCCATGTATCCAGGAGTCTTACCAAGAATTTTTCTCTCTTCTAATGGCTAAAAATTTCAGGCAATAAAGCTTACTGAAGTAAATTGTATTTAGTTTTTCTAACTCAGTGGTGATAAAGGGATGAAGAAAGTAGAAATGAAATCCCAGAGACCACTCAATTTTGGGGAATCTGAGATGCTTTACTCATTAATCAGGAACTGCATGAATGATTTTGCACTGCACACTCTCTACAGCCATGTGTGGCCCTTGCTTCACAGTAATGCAGAATTAGAACCCCTTCTCTATCCTTACTGCCAAGAAACTAAAAGAAGTGTTGCTTTGGCAGTTAGCTCAACCCTTCTATGAATTTGCATTCAGGTGCACAGAGGTTAGGTGGCCAGAGTAGAGGCTATGAATTTAATTAAATTAATTAATTTACAGTCACCCATAACTGTTTATGCCTTAGACTCTGGACAGAAGTAAACTCAAATCTCCTCTTTATCCTAGGTATCAAAGTATTCTCACATGATTTTTGAAGGAAAGTAAGCTTCATGCAAAGATAACCAAATAAAAAAGACACCATAAATGACACTGGTAGAAAAATACTCCTCAGAAACAAATTTGTAGTGTCTTCAGATACTAGGATTAGCAGAACAGATGGTTATTGTGTTAAAGTAAATTTTAAAAGCTTAAAAATACCTTGATGAAAGAAGAAGGTATAAACAGTCACCTAAGTTTTGGAAATTAACATCTAAATAAGTAAGTTACAAATTCTGTAAATGGGTTTTACAGAAGATTAGTCACAAGGGGAAAAAATAATACTTAACTTGCAGTAGTCTATAAGAAAGTACCTAGAATTGAACAAAAGAATAAAAGTAGAGAAATTATGAAAGTAGTCTCGAGAGATAAGGATGACAGACTGAAGAATCTGACCCATGGATAACTGGAATTGGAGGAAAGAGAGAGAGGGAAGGAGAGAGAGAGAAATGGAATAAAGAGGGGAGGGAAGAAAGAAAGGAGGGAGGGAGAGAAGATGGAAGGGAGGGAGCCCTAAGCAAGATATATATACACATATATATATACATATATACATATACATACACATACACACACACACATATATAGACACCACCAGAGTTCTTAATAAAACTCCCTGTCATTGAGTTAATTCTGACACATAGCAGCCCCGTTTGGGTTTTCAAGGCAGCAAATCTTTACGGAAGTAGATTGCCCGGTCTTCCTTCCGTGGAGTGGCTGTTGGGTTTGAACTATCAGCTTTCTGGTTAGAAGTCAAATACCTTAGGCCCTACCCCCCCCAGACTCCATATATATACATAATTTAAAAATACATGTCTAACTACTTTATATTGAAACTTATGAAATAGAGAATTTTTAAAAAAAGAAGCCATAAAATATCTGTAAAGGAAAGTCAGACTAATAGCTGACTTCTCAAAAGCAATGATGGAAGCTAGATGACAGTAAAACAACATCTTCAATATGCTCAAAGAAATAATTGCAAAACTCACATTCTAAACACAGTGAAAGTATCTTTCAAGAATGAGGGTGAAATGAAGACCTTTTCAGAAAAATAAAATCTGAGCAAGAAAAAGTTTTCCTCTAAGATTCAGAAAAAGAAAGATATCTGCAATTGGCACTTTTAATCAATGCTTAGAGGTTCTAGCCAGTGCAATAATGCAAGGAATAAAAAGCACAAGGATTGGAAAGGAAAACAAACCCTCATTAGGTGCACCAGTTATGAGAAGTGCAATGTAATTTATGAGCTATTAGAATTAAGATCATTTCACAACTTTGTTGAATCCAAGTGCAGTATTTAAGAATCGGTTGTATTTCTATAAACCATCAGCCAGTAATTAAAATTTTTTTAAAAAAGTACTATTAAAAACATGAAAAATATGCCTAAATCGCACACAATATTGCTTTGTCTTCATATTATATCCAGAGAGCTAGCTGAATTCTCTTATTAGTGCAGCCTCCCCACACCACTATAAAACCACTATTTTGAGACATTAAATGGACTCAAATCCATGGAGATATATGTATATTATGTTCATTGTAAATATGTCAGTTTTCTGAATTCCCATTCAAAATCCCAGCTTTATTGATTCTTAATTTACAAATTTAACAGGCCAAGAATAACCAAGTAATAGTAAAGAACATTGTTGTTGACATTGTTAGATGCCATCGAGTCATCTCCGACTCATAGCAAACCTATGCACAGCAGAACAAAACACTGCCAGGTCCTGTGCCAGCCTCACGATCCTTGATACTTGAGCCCATGGTTGCAGCCACTGCATCAATCCATATCATTGAGGGCCTTCCCCTCTTTCATTGGCCCTCCACCTTACCAAGCATGATATCCCTCTCTCCAGGGAATGGTGCCTTCTTACAACATGACTAAAGTAGGTGAGATGAAATCTGGCCATTCTCGTTTCGAAGGAGCATTCCGGCTGCACTTCTTCCTGGACAGACTCGTTAGTTCTTTTCATAGTACTTTCAGCATTCTTCACCAGCATCACAACTCAAAAGCATCAACTCTTCTTTGGTCTTCCTTGTTCGTTGTCCAGCTCTCACATGCATATGAGGTGAATGAAAATACCATGGCATGTGTCAGGCACACCTTAGTCCTCAA